CCTCTCACCCGCCTGCCATGTCCGTGCCGTCCACCAAGCCGCCGGCCGACTTCGCTCAGGCATGCTTGCTCGCGGCTCCATTGGACTTTCGCACACTGGACGCCCCGGTGATCCATTCGCGAACTTCGGAGCTTGGCAGCTTTGACATACTACCGCTCAAAGCAGCAACACATTCCACTTCGTTAAAGTCCGTGATTGAGCTTGTCGAACCGATGTCTGCGGGGGACTTTGATTTCGGACACCTTTATCACCTCATCTCCACCACCATCGGCCCCTTGTCTGTGAGCTTTGGTAACACCATGAAATTCAAGATGCAGCTTGTGGGCCAGCAGTCTTCGGATGGTAAGTGGGTTTTCTTGAAGCACTTCGTCTTTGAAGACAAGATACCCGCTCGGCTTCTCAAGACATCTCTCACAGGGGACCTCCACCTCATCAACTACGGCACGAACTTCCGCAACGGTCTCAAGGGCTTCCAGTATCTTTTGGAACATACTGGCCAATGGAGCGTTATGTGGTTCCAGACTCAGATGAAGGAGTCCAAAGCCAAGACGAAAGAAACATCGGATCTGCAGAAAGGCTTCGACTTCATCCGCTCTAGCGGCCCTCGGTCAAACATGCACAACCGGCAGACCGAGTGGACCGAAGTTGAGATTCACAAAGAAGGCAGCCCCATCTTCGGTTGGTCGGCGGGCTTAGTAGCGGCTACGACAACTCCAATGTCTTCGCCGACTCGACCAGCAACTTCTTCGTCACACTGCACGATCTCCAAGGCTGGTTCCTTCACGATGTTCTTGTTCCTCTCCTGCCCACCATGAAATCCAAGACCTTGGTCATGATGGGCCTCGCTGAGAAGGGCAAAACCCCCGCAGCCCAAGCTCTCGCACTCGGCATCTCCGAATACTGGATTTTAGTCGACGACATGGCTTGGGATGTCAAGCCTTCCTTTCGTCTTTGCTCCAGCTTGGATCAGCTGCGTGGGGAACCTGGAAAGAAACATGTTCCAGACATCCTGGACGACCCCGACATGAACGTGGTTCCCATGCCCAAGCTCAAGGCCTTTCTCGATGCTTCCTTGGAGGAGTCCTTCACTGTTGAACGTTGGACCACTTCCAAGTTCGTCCGCAACCAACTTCGCATCCTCTGCGACAACAAGATAGATGAGGACGCCGACAAATGGATCTCG